AATTCAAAAATCAAAGTCTTCCCTACCTGTTTTAAGTGAAATTGAGCTAAGATCTAAATTACCCATAACATAATTCACATCTTTCTGCCTCGATTCATCATGATTCCATTCGCAATAATATAGGATTTAGGATTGAACGCTGCAAAATTTCACTGTTCATCGAACATTGAAAAATATTATGAATCTTAATTTCTTGAGAATCTAAGTATGTTATATGTTAGATTTAGATAATGCATGTTTATCCATTTGCATTAACATAGATCTATGATTGAACGCTGCAAAATTTCACTATTCATCGAACTTTGAAAAATATTATGAATCTTAATTTCTTGAGAATTTAAGTCTGTTACATGTTAGATTTAGATAATTCATGCTTATTTCTTGCTCTTTATAGTTTGATTTTGCCAAAACTATGGTTGAAAGTTGTGATTTTTATTGTTCGCCATTCTTCACAACAAAGCTTTGTTAAACTTTTGTTCACTTCATTGTGAGAGAAGGGAACATGGCTTAAATTATCTATATAATGAATGAATCATCTTGTTTTATTAATTTCTAGTCAATTTTTCTTTGGTTAACCAGGTCTGAGTTTGTTCTATATATGCACTGAGTTGGAAGACTATTAGAGGCCCTAGGCTCTATTTTAACTGAAACCATAGGATTATATTAGAAAGCAAATCAGGGAAAATTTGATTAAGGAATTTGAGGAAAACCAATAAAAAGATTGAGGTGAGAGACCAAAAAATCTTATCCACTGATGGGTTAAAGATTGTGGAAACAAGATCTGGAGGTGAATTGATTGAGCCACCACCTCCAACAAGCTACTATATTATAAGGAAATTTTTTGTAAAAACTAAGAAATGGGCTAAGTTGAGGAGGTTAAAGTCAAACAACTTCAGAAAGAGAACCCTAGATTTTCAAATAAATACCTCAGATTTGAATATACATATTATTCTAACTAGTGGTAACCTGTGATGATTAGGGGATAAATTCTTCAAAGTTAAAGGAATTTTGGAGGGGAGAATTGGAGAAAGAGTGGGGTAGAGCTGAGAATAGAACTATAAACATGAAGGCATTTAAAACAGAGAAAAATAAACATGAAGATAGCTGAGGAGAACGCTAAGGCTGCTTGAACAACCTCGAATTCGACCGTTACTCATTCGTGAGTCGGAGAGCCGCTGTCAATTACAAACTCACCCAGGCCATGTGGATATTTTATGAGTTGGAGTTCATGGTTGAGAACATTCAAGGCCCGATCAAAGAATGGATAGATGAGGGAAACCTGTCTAGGCTAATTCTAAATCTAGCAGAGCCCGTGTCAATCTCATTAGTATGAGAATTTTACACTAATCTCACTGAGGTTGACACCCCAAAGAATATTTACATCAGAGAAAAATGGTTGGATGCCTCTTCTAATAAAATCAACCAACTCATCGGCTGGACCTGCCGACTATTACAAAAGGCAATGGAGGAGAAATTGGAATGGGCCAAGAACTATAATTCAATGGAGCTGCACTCACTATACAATGCAGTTGCACCCACCCTGAGTTTTGACAAGAGAAACGTGAGGTTCAATTCGATGGACGATGATATGAAGAAATGGGTGAAATGGTCAATGAGTAGAATAATGGTCACTTCTCAAATTTTATCCATTCGGTCAGATTTTGTGGTGGCGCTCCACTTCATTTTAGAAGAAAAATCAGATGTGGGTTTGGCTTAGATTATATGCCTAGATATATGCTCGCGTGCTAGCTTCGGTAAAGTATAGGGTTATGAAACCCTAATTTCTCAGCTATGTAGAGTGGTCAGTGTTGATATGTCTATTCCAGGTTGTGACACTCGGCCCGCAAACCACGCAAAGTCGGACGTATTAGGATTAGACTGGCTCCACAGGTCAACACGAGTTTTTCCAAGACACTTCTATCCTTACTCACGCGCACCCTAGAAGACTTCTAAAGGGGGTTACTCATCCTCAAATTACTCTAGGGCAAGCACGCTTAACTCTAGAGTTCTTTCAGTAGGACTCCCGAAAATAAATGTGCACATTGTTAACATGAGTATTATATTTAATTTATTTAACCTCTAATCAACTTCAGATGGCTTAATACCGACTCATCCACACACGAGAGTTGGCCAAGCATCGGCGCAACTCCGAGGGTATTACATCCTTCCCTACTTTAGAATGCAATGTCCATGTTGCACCACAAGGATCCCTCAACTGTTTGGCCCGTCAAGAGTCCGGTCAACAATAATAGGCTGTTGTAGGTTGGCTCTGATGTCAACTGTGACACCACGGCCCGCAAGCCATACAAAGCCGAGCGTGTCGAGATTAGACTGGCCCCACAGGTCAACATGAGTCCTTCCAGCGTGCATTTGTCCTCACTCACGCACACCCTGGGACACTTCCCAATGGGGTCACCCATCCTTAAATTACACTCTAGGATAAGCACGCTTAAATCTAGAGTTCGTTCAGTAGGATTCTTGAAAAAAAAATGCATATTGTTGACATGAGTAGTCTATTCAATCTATTTAACCTCTAATCAACTTCAGATGACCCAATATTGGCTCATCCACACACGGGAGTTGGCTAAGCAACGGCCCAACTCTAGAGTATCACACAGGTGCTTCTTTGTCTATGCCACTATAGTAGCCCGTTGTTTTTCACTAACAGTGGTTGGAGATGAAGAGATTTGACCCAATCCCTAAGAAGAAGAGCAAAATGGAAACAACTATGGCCTAGCCCCCCAAAACAAAGCTCAAAGTAATTGGGAAGGAGCTTTCGCTCTCCAAAAGATGAAGAATCCACCAATGGCTCCGGAAATGAGTGGTATGATAATGAGTTCCCCGCTCACAGGAAAGAGAAACCTACATTTAAGGATGATGTGACCATCATGACGGAATCGGACCCAATCATAACTCTTCCTAGACCAATCACTAAGAGCCGAGCCTGTAATTTCAATTGGCAAGAACAAAGTGTGTCAAACTTCAAATAGATGTCACTGCTGAACTCTACACCGAGGATCAAAATAAACCATGCATTCTTTTGGAATTGGACCACAAGTCCCAATGACCATAAGCCTAGGAGCACCTTACAAGACATTGGACCTCCCCTAAATTACTATCCCTAATTGAAGGGATCTCATGAATCAATATCCCCTAAATGAATGAATTCCATAGATCAAGGGATTACCAATAATCATGGGATTGCCATTAATTATGGGTCAATAATACTAAATAAGGCTAATTATAATAAATATCTCCTATATGATTTTATTTCCTTTAAGAGTGTACTTTCTTGTTTTAAATTTCCATGGTTCCTCTATAAAAGGTCCCATGATTATCATTGTAAGGATTATTCATTCAACAAAGATATTTTATAAACTGGTTTATTATTTCAAGAGCGATTCTTGTGCATTTTTTTAAGTGTAATCTTGAGTGATTCGGTTACATCTTCATATCCTCAAATCGAGTTGTTTCGAGTGATTTGAAATAAGTCGTGGCCTCTCGAATAGTACTGGAACTATTCTTGCCTTAGCTTGTATTGTCAGCTTGTTTAGAGGATTGTGAGACGTGAGCTTGATCTCTCGTGTTGCTTTCCCGACTACCTCTCAAGTCAAGGGAGTCCATTTTATCCCCATTAATATAGATATATATATATAGCCATCCATCCCTTGTTCTATCCAAATCCCCAATATTGTTATTACTTATTCTTGTGGAATTCGATCCGAACTATCATCATTGGTAAGTTCGCATCAGATTGGCAATAAAAAACGACCATAAGTGATAAGGCTTGAGAAAAGATTGAGAGAGTAAAGAAAGTGAAAAATATTAAGTTGGCAGATGATGTCACTCCGGATCCGACTCAGGAAAATCCTAGGCTTAAAGCTAAGGTTGCAAAGAAAAGGAGCCCAACCAAGAAGCTGGCTATGAATGATAAGGGGAAGGAAAAAGCCCTGGAGAATGAGGTTGATTTTGATTCAATCCCGCTTTTATGGTTAAGAAAAGGTATCTCCATCAAAGATCCTACACCCCAACGAGATTGAATTCCACCAGCAGAACCCGCCAGCTAGCTTGCCTCCGTGGAGCCACAACAACCAGCTCAGACTGTCCAAACATCCTATCAGTTCATTAAATCCGGCGTTGAAGAAGTGGATGAGAGGAAACTATTTTGATAGAATAAAAGCTTAACGGAATAGACATGACAATTAAAAGTTATGCTATGGAGTATCCCACTGGGGCCAATAAAGAAACTCCCGCCGCCTCCACAACTGATATTGAACCTTCTGATGAAACCACTAAAGTTGATGTAGTAATAACAAGTTTGCCCACATTGCATAGCGCAAAAAATGCAACTACTCTTAAGGCAGTCAAAGAAAAATCTATTATTAAGAGTCCCCAGACAGCTAAAGAGAAAGCACCGACAACTCTGACTCCTCTATTTGCCAAATTTGATCCATCTACTTTATTCGAGGATAATGATGGTAGTGAAAGAGATAAAATGAAATAAAGACTCACTTGATCGCTGAGATGTAGAGAATCAAAGAAGAAAAAGCTCATAAACATAGGTTAAAGAAGACGATGAAGACTCTGGCTAGCTTGTTGAAATGGCGGAAGCTGCTCACCCAATTCCAGCTACATTTTGAAAGATACTTCCAAATCATACAAGCAAAGCAGAAAAAGCATATAGTATAACATGAATTTTTTGTGTTTTATCTTTGAATATTAATTATTACATTAATACGTAATATAAATAAAAAAAAATACAAAAATACTTCTATTAATCTCTAATAATACAAATACAACGATATTCGTGACGTAAATTATATAAATATATAAAAAAAATAATGTTAAATATAATGATATAAAAAATAAATTATGCTCTTTGAGAGGCAGTAGTAGTAGTAGTAATAATAATAATAATAATAATAATAATAATAGACAAAACAAGCATTCAATCTCAATCAAATCACAAGTACAAAGAATGAAAAATTAGAACATAACAATTGACATAGCAAGCACAACAATATATATAGATATATACACAAAGCATTCTTCCTTCCCAACATAACAAATGCAAATGCAAATGCAAATTCAAGTTCAGACAGATATAGGAAATTGCTATTTCAATTCCTCCTCTAACATCAGAGAGAGAGAGACTCTTCATTACTACACATAAAGCAGCTAAAAAAACACCAAAACCAGATCGATCACAGTCCTAAAAATAGAAACACTAATATTGCACATCTCCACCTGTATTCACACTTGTTCCTTTCATTCTTTCTTTACCCCAAGAGAAGAGCGCTCTCATCTGCAACTCAAAAACAAAACCACACTAAGAATCAAAATAATCCCTCCGTCCCAAAAAATTAGAACATTTGGGTCCGACATGAAGATTAAAAAATATAAATATTTTATTAAAAAAATGTTAAAAGCAAAAAGATAGTTTTGGGTATTTTTTAAAAATAACTTAAAAAAAAAATGAAAATAGAGAATATAATAAAGGTAGTGACATTTATTGTAAATAAGTATTGAACGGAAAATAATAGTTAAATGCTGATTTGTTGACTTTACCAAAATTAATAATGAAGTAAATTTAGCGGACAAACTAAAAAGGAAAGTAAGAGTAAATTTGGCGTACGGAATGAGTAATAAAAATTCACGTCTTGCAACTATTACTACAATAGTAAAGGGATTATGATTTTCACCATACCGAGTTTTAAGTTGTTTTCAGCGTTGAGGAGGAGATTCGGGCTCCGAACCACAAACTGAGGAAAATGAAATGGTGTCTTCTTTAGGTATGGCGACAAAGTTTAGAGGTGCAGTCGAGAGCCTTCTCGTTTCCTTGAAATACCCGTTTTGGTGTCCAGAGTACGATCTCGGTGTGAGGAGCTCCGAGTTGATACCACCAGATGAGTTCCGACGGGGCGAGGGAGTCACCGATCCATTTCCATTTCCATATCCACGGTGTCCGTTCACATTCCTAAAGCTGCTGCTCCTCCTCGGGCTCGGCTTCGACCCGTAAATAGATTCTTTCTCGGCAAGAAGCATGTCGTGCAACTTCTTTTGATCCTGAGTTAGTAAAACATTGATGCCATTATCGTAAACATATGCTGTTAAGGCACAAAAACGTAAACATATGCTTCTGAGGGTTTGGATTTTGAATTGGGATTTGAATAGTAAAAAATCTGAATTTGAATAGTAGTACGACGTGATATAAATAAATATTGATGTGATATTCTGTATTTAAAAATTGATTTTTAGTATAATATAGAAAATGAAAAATAAATGTTTGATTTGATATTTTTTGAGGGAAAAATTTGTATGAATAGTATAAATCCTTCCCAATCCTTTAAAGATTACCCGGGCTTGTTTTTTCTCTTCTTCCTTGCGCCGCCTAGCTTGTTTGTAATCCTCGAGTATGGACACCAGGCGGACCTGAATATAACAGCAACAATAGCTGATTTCAAACCAAGCAAAGTAGTCGAAACCCAAAACAAGTTTAAAACTATCCTAAAAGCTCACCCCATCATACAGAAACAGCATTTTTTTCTCGTCCTCCCACATCAGTGTCTTGCTAATCAGATTATCGACCATAGCTGAAATTCAAAGCTTGTTATCCCGAGAAATATATAACCATTTCATGCACAGAAAGAAAAACATCATCACAAAGCGCCGGCCCAAAAAGTTACCTGGAATCTTATTCACAGTAATTCTCGCGCGCTCTGCGCGTTTGAGATTTATGTGAGCACCTCTTCCGGCGCTGTACCGATTGTCGTCCTGAATAGTAAAAATCTGTAGTAAAACCCACAAAAGAACACGATATATATGTTTTTTGGTGCTTTGAATTTATTTTTCGCATACTTTATTATAATCTTCGAGCCACTTTTCCTCGTCACAAGCATAAAGCCATCTGCTTATCTTATCGAGTAGTTCTTTACGGGCTAATGCTTCTTCTTTGGCTTTGGATATCTGCGCTTCGATGTTTGCCAGCAGTTCACTTGGATCCACTAAACCTGCAGAGGAATCGAATCCCATGTTGTAAAAATTTCTTAAAATTTAAGAAACGAGTTGTGAGAGAGAGATTAGCTACCCGAATCCACCAAGGCATTCGTTTTGTCAGCATCAGTGCTCGGATCGGCTTGAATATGTATCTTAGAGCATACGTACTCCAGCTCGGCCCTCTTCATCAGAACAAGTTCCTTTAACCTCGTTGCTTTTAGTTTTGTGAGCCTTTCAACCTCCGCTGAAACCTACACATCAAATATTGCACGTCACTTCATACCATTCGATTAAAAAATGTCGGAAGCTACTAGCGAATCTTCTGTACATGTACCTGATCTATTATCTCCATCGATAAAGCACCTGGTTGCACAATTTCCGACTCCGAGAAACCAAGAACTGAAGTAATTCTCGCGAAATAAGACCTGTCTTCTTTCGGAGTGTCCATCAAGTTCCACAGGTCAAAGAGGGAACCCGCAACATCTTTCAGCTGCATCACCAAATGTTTTTAGTCGGGAATTGAATTCAAGCGCTAGTTAAGATCTCATTAAAAGTGCACATTTTAATTACCTTCTGAAATCGAAACTTCCTCTGTGTTTTTAGCTTCAAGATAGCTTGATCAAGCCCCTCTAATGTGCTGTCGCTGATGTTCGTCACATGTTCTGCGCTCGACGCATGCAAGCTTGGATGAACATCGTTCACAGTCTTGGCAAAATCCAAACCTAGAACGGTACTCAATGTATGCACCTCGTTCACACAATCCAAAACCTTTTGGAGGCGTTCAGACTGCGAATCATATAAATGTACAAGCCCGGGTGTTAGGGAAGTTTCATATAACACTATAGTATGCTTAATGGAGCAAAAATGCGAAAATTATGAGAAAACTTGAACTAGGCTTCATTAAATGATTCCATTTAAATACTTGAAGGCAAAGAACATCGATGAAAGTGGAAAAGACAAAGACATAAATGCAACACATCGTTCGAATTAATCATGTTCGGACAACAGAATTTTGGCATACCTTTTCTTTCTGCAGTGTTCGGAGATTCGATTGATATTCCATGAGCTTTCTAAGAGACAAATCATGTTCTTCCAGATTCAAGGCACTCACTGAGCTGACAATATGGCCGTATCCGGAAATCTCACTAGTTATCTTATCAATTTGGGACTTGATATCGGCAAATTGCTTCATCCTTTCATCTTTCTTACGCGTCAACTCTTCAACTAACGGTGAAACAGAGGCCAGTTGACCTTTTAATGATTTTGCCTTTTTGTCGGCCAAGACCTGCTCAGAAAGAAAATGGTGTCACCAACCAATATCATAAATAGGATGTCTCGATGACCAAAGTCGAGATTCAAATTCATGGCCACCAGACAGCAACATAAGTACGCACACAGCCGTAAACAACTCGAACCACAGCACAATAAAATCAAATGACACTATTCGTCATAGTAACTTAAAAGACAACAACAAAATTTAAGGCAAGCTCATACAACAACGAATATTTGCGTTTCATTACACGTGGTCCATTTTCCTTAGCTCAACCGCAGACAAGAATATTTTTTGTCCTATTACTTCCAGTTCCGCAGACGTACATAGAAAGTAGTTTTCTACTCAGAAAGATCGATTCACGACATCAAAGTAACAAAGTAGGTGCTAAATAAGACAAAAACTCCTATCTCTACGACAAATATCCAAAACATAAAGTCAAATGAAAGATTTAGATAATTCTAGTGTAGTCATCGAAAAAGTTATTATCCATAACACCTGACATTTTTGGAGCAAGAGCAAAAATGATTAAATTCGATCTTATTCGACTTGAATGTCCAAAAACAGACCAGAAGATTCTTAAATGCTGCAGTTACCTTCATATAAAGATCAAATAGAACAATACCATTTTGATCGCGTGAATTTCGAGAATAAAAGCATCGAAACCATGAAATTATATAAAACAAACTAACAGGACAATAGAACATCGACAATGTTATTACCGGAAAAGTGACATTGATTTCTCCAAGCGTTGCCATGAGCATGGCAACCTCGGCTTCCCTGGCAGCAATTGACTGATGAAGAAGAGCCTTGGCATTCGCAGCCTCGTCAACCTTTCTTCTGTATATGTCTAAGCATTCTTGCTCAAGCTCCACCAACATGCGATCTTTATCAGCTTCACTTTCCCCAATTTCAGTCCATATTTGCTACTCCATATACAAAAACAAACAATCAATTCGGATAACGCTAGAAAGAACTCACCAAACCATTATTACACTCACAAAAAATTTCCATTTCAGACAAAACAACTCGTTTAGGCAGAAATGCAAGAACCATCATAATTCCTTTTTTGTTTTGTTTTTTTTTTTTTAATTACAATACAAACATGGCACATACATATCGAACACTAGGGATCAAATCACCTCCAAGAAGCTAACGAATACTAAACAAAACCATGGCAGACATTCTTTTAAGCTGTCCTACTCAAGGAACTGGATAAGAAAAGGACAGTCCAACTCTCAACAAAGGCCGTAGAGTAAGAAAAGGTCTTACCATAGCATATCAAGGGTGCCAAAAATTGAAAGACAATTGAACGCATAAACTACAAACATATCATAGAAATTCACAAAAATCCCTAAAAAAGAAACTGAACAGAAAAAATCTCTAAATATAATTTCATAATTCAGTGGAAATTGAACAAGAAGAAAGCTCCTGTTCCAAGAGCTAGAGGGAGGGAATGTGAAATGGCAGAAGTTGTGAGAGAGTAAGAGAAACCTGGAGTTCTTTAAGTAAAGCATTGCAAGCCTTGCTCGTGTAGACGCTGCCGCAATTACTCCCCATGGCCATCATCATTTCCACTAATTAGTATCTCCTTTCTCCCGATTGCCTCTGTCTCTCTCTAAAACGACACGAATTGGAAAAAGGGGTTTTCCTTTACGGTTCAAGAAGAAAGCAAGGAAGCTAGAAGAAAAGGTTTTCCATAGCTAGAGAGAGAAAAGAATGACGAAAGGGGGTTTCGTATTCCTTTAACTAGCAAAAGGGAAAGGGGAGGGGAGGCCAGGGTTGTACCTGTACTGCAGAACCTGCATTTATGTAATAATTCTTCTCTCTTCTTCTTCCTCCTCACTTTTCACCTTTCTCTCAGATCTAAGAAAAATATATATATATATAAAAAAAAAAAAAAAAAAGAGAGACAGACAGACACACAATTATATTCAGCCGAAGTTGAAGAAATTCAACGCGAGCTAGCGACACGCACGCAGCCACACCAACCCACAAATGACAACAAATCTGTTTTTTGTGTTTTGTTCTTTCTCTAGCTGCTGCTTCCTTCTTACTTTTGTTTTTGTTGTGCTCTCTCTCTCTCCTTCTATTTTATTTGTCTAAAAATTGATGATAATAATGGAGATATGATGGTGACGACGACGATGAAGGAAGAAAGGAAGGAAGGCAAAGGGGAAATTGGAGTACAGACAAGCCAAGTATGCGAATATGAATGTTAACCAGAAAGAGTTAGTCTGAGTCAGAGTGTAGTAAAGTGGTGTGTTTTGTGAAGGAGATTTGGATTTTGGATCGAGATAATAGTAAAAATTTTAAATATAAATAATTATTTAAAGTGATATAAATAGATATTGATGTGATATTTTAAATATAAAATTAATTTTAATATAATTTTTAAAAATAAATAAATAAATAAATTTGGAAAAAATCTCCCATACAAAAACACATCCAACGAAGGCAGGGAGATAGATAGTTGGTACCAAACGCAATTATTGCGCAGCTCTACACCAAAACTATTCCTCTTTACCAAAAACATAAAAACTATTCCTCTTATTATAATATCGCCTACTATGCATGTCTTCTTTTTGCTAAAAAAAAACAAAACATCCACATATTTTCAATAATAATAATAATAATAATAATAATAAGAATAATAATGTGTCAAATTATTTTACAAAATAAACATACTTCATATATTCTCCTCGAAATTTTATACTCTATCCCTTGTCGAAATTTATTTCAATATAGTTTGTTAAGAATTTTAATAAAAATAAATAAAAGTATTACTTTCTTTAGAGTAATATATATAAGTGATATTTTTTACTCAGAAAACAAAAATATTTTTTATAACAAAAAAATTGATATAAATTTAGATATTTCTTTAGTCTCATTCTAGATGAGCTCTTTGTAGTTTATAATAGATTAAAAATAATAATATTTTTATTAGTCACTAGAAATGTTTAAAAAATTTGATATTTTTGTCATTTGACTTTATATATAAAATAATTGTATATGTAATGAAATTCTTATAATTTAAATAAAAATTAAAAATACTTTGGTGTTAATGTATGATTACTTTTATTAAAATATAAAATAGATATTCCAGACAGACAAAAATGATAATAAAAAAATAAAAATAAATAAAAAAGGGTACGTAGAGTTGGAATGAAGAGAGTTACTGATAAAATATTTATATCATCATTTTCAATCTTATTGAAATTTGCTAAAAAAAAAAATGCAAAATAGAGTTTACTCCCCTCCTACCTAAAATAGGGTTTTTTTTTTGGGATTTAATAGTAGATTAAGAAAAATATGTAAGAATTTTTAATATTTTTACCATTGACTTAATTGTAAGTATAGTTATATATTTATAATTTAAGTAAAAATTAAAAATATTATAGTATTAGTGTATGATTTTATTATTTTTTTAAAAAAAAATTAATTTAAATTGAGGAAGACGGAGTAATATTTTAGATACTAGAGTATATATAGCCATTACTTTTCCTTTTTTTTTTTTTATGATGTGGAAACTCGCTGCTGCTACCCGAAAGTGCGCATTGGGTAAACCCCGGCCGAACCTAATACCCTGCAAATCAGGCCCAACGGAAAAACTCAAATGCTATACTTATTTTAAAAGATCATGCTTAAACTATTTGGATTTAATGTATGTTATTTGGACCTTGGCTAAATATAGTGATTGGAATATAAGAGTATTTAAGGGACAATTAGCATATAAGAGTCTTTAATTACAACTTCATAAATAGTGCATAAAATGTGGCTAAGGCATGTGAATGTCGGTACACTAGAGGCTTGCGCCGGCCACTTGCTCGGACCAATAACAGGACTGTGGGATTAGATTTAAGTTTGAAAAATGTAAAATTTAACGAAGTTTATTATGATTCGAAACTTAATCGAAATAACAAAAAAAAGTTCAAATCCGAAGCCCAAAATAATAAGATCGTTCCCCGTATACAATTTCATGTAATTTCATAAATCATTTCATGCACGTACATGGTTTATAGGCATGCGTGCATGCATGCATGTTTGTAATTACATTACAATAGGAATTCATGCATAATTTTTTCTCCTTGTTTTAAAATTTTTAATAAATTGTTTTTCACTAATTATTATTAATTATTAATATTAAATTATTAGTTAGAACAAATAATTATGGAATAAAATATTAATGTATTTTACAAATATAATATAAAAAATAATATTTACATTTAAATTAAATCAAAGTAAAATATTCATAGAAAAATATATCATACACGTATTTTTTATTAACATTAAAATTTATAATAAACTTCTTAGATAATCTATGTATCTATATATATTATACTCCCTCCGTCCACTTACAATGTTTATATATTTTTATTTTGGAACGTCAAATTACAAAGTTAATATTTTACTAAATACCCTACTTTTTTTCACAAATACCCTTACTTTACATCACATCATTACTTTTACACAAAAAAGTAAGGGCAAAAATGTCATTACACTACTTTTAACTATTCACTATAATTAAAATACTATTATTTCTTAAACACCGCGCCAAAAGTAAATGTAAACTTTGTAAGTGGACGGAGGGAGTATTAGATTTGTTTTTTTTTTTTTTTTTTTTTTTTAATAAAAAAAACCTATTGTATTTATTTCATATTTAATAACAATGTATTTATCTAATACTTAAAGAAAAATATGTTTTAACTTTAGTATATTCATATAATTATTTTAAAGATAATATTGATAAATTTTTCATTTACTGTTTATTGAGAAGTACGAATATTCTATTGTCTGAAGTTTTTTTTTTTTTTTTCTTATTATTGAATAAAAATACAATTAGATATATACAATTAACTTAAATAATATATGAGTATTAGACAAAAATGATATGCTAATCAGAATAGGAAAATAGTTGTTCTCACCTGTATTTTCCGAAAAAAGATGGACATATAAAAGAAAAAATTAATCGATTTAATTTCGATACTATATAAATAAAAATTATTTATATATTATAAAATATGATAATGACATGAATAAATTAATATTATAAAATATTAATTATCACTTTTACATATTTTATACTCTCTCCCATAACAAAGTATCCATTTTTCCATTTTAGTCTGTTCCATAACAAAGTATCAATTTCCTTTTTCAGTAACTGTATTATCTACCTAACATTACAAATACTCTTACAACTTACAATATATTACACAAATGTCATTACCTTTATATCACACGTACAATAAGGTTATTTTAGTCATTTATACTTTATTCCTATTATATCTCAATATAATACTAATATTTCTAAAATTACGTATAAAAAATAAATGGATATTTACTTTTGGGACGGAGAGAGTATATAAAATAAATATATTGGGTATGTTTGGTTTATGTTTAAATTTTGAATTTTGAATTTTTTTTAATTTGAATTTTGATTTAAATAGTATTTTAATTTAATATATTGTAATATGAAATAATATATTTTAATCGAGAATATGTTAATGACATGAATGAATTAATACTATAAAATATTTATAATCACTTTTATATATTGTGTATATAACATAAATATTTTGGGTACGTTTGGTTTATGTTTAAGTTTTGATTTGTTTTTTTCGATTTTAATTGTATTTAATGTAATTTTTGTAAAATGAAGTAATATATTTAAATGGAGAACCATACATTTTTGTTTTGGAACCAAATCTAAATAAACTTTTTATATATTAAGCATACAATCATAAATAAATAATATAATATAATATAATATAAAAACTAAATTATATACTTATAAAACAAACGGTTCGTAACAAAATTATTGAAATAATTAACATAATTATAATTACGTAAATCATTCATATTAAAATAATACTCTCTTTGTCCACAAACTAATGTTCTACTTTCTTATTTGGGACGTCCAACAACTATTGTCCTATTTTTTTTTAAACACAAATTTTACATTTTTATCATTCATTCATTTATTATTTTTAATCTCTATCATACAATTAAGGACAAATTTGTCGATTCATAACAAAAAGACAATTACCTAAAAATCCTTTCAAATATACTTTAGGACAATAAAATTGGATGGAGAGAGTATATGATAACTAACATTTCAAATTATATTTATATTATGCAATATTATATTTTGAAATTTATCATGGTTTATAACCAAAATCTAATATAAAGTGGTGACAAATTTTTACTTTTTATTTTTAATTTGGATAATGTAGACTACAATAAATTTTAATGATTTTATTAAATTATTTAATTTTACTTTATCCATATATATATATATTTATATATGCATGTAAAATTATTATTAATAAAATCTATCTAAAATAAAAATAAAAAAAAATATTTTATTAAAAAATCTAAAAATTTAAAAAGAAAAAAAATATGAATATTAAGACTCGCACCGCTCTAGATATACCGATAACATATCGGTAGGTCCTGCAATTCTATATCTTTTTTTTTTAATTTTTAAATAATTAATTTGTATTAATTTCTTTTTATTAATTATGTTGTAATTATATATGTACATACATTCTTTATTTTGATAAAAATATATATAATGTTATTATTAATACTAAATTATTAATTAGAACAAATAATTATTGAATAGTATATTAATTTAATTTAAAAATATAATATAAAAATTATATTTATTGTATTTATATTTAAATTAAATCAAAGTAAAATATTTTAAAATTAAATATATTATGCATGTATTTTTATATTAACGAATTTTTTTTATTAGTTTCTTATATAATAAATATATATTTATATATATAACAAGATGGTAAGAATGTTATCAGTTGAAATTACACAATAAATAATAATTAAATAATAATGATGATAAAAGAAGAAATATAATAAGTGTAAGTTGATCTAAAATAGAATTCTCACTTAATTTAAATATACATGAATTGTAGGTAAAATTGTAATTTAACATATTTTGCATAAAAATAAAATGCATAAAAATAAATCAATTAGAATTAAAAAATAAATCTACAAATATAAATATCAATAAGCTGAAAACTTATAATTACATGCCTATATATTTAAAAAAAATGATTATTTTGAATTCAAAATTTTAAATAAATCATTATAAATAAATAAATTCTGCAAGTTACCACAGTTAATAGCCGAAAGTTTCGATGGTCACTAAAATTATGACCGGCGGTTTCCGGCAATTAAACGCCGGCGATTTCGGTTCGGGATTGATTGCCTTTGGATGGAGTGCCCGTAA